TCTATGCATATTTGAAAGACCCCGAAAGCTTTGAGCACACAGATATCGATGCGATAAGAAATAGAGCAGAAAACTATGAAATAATAGATAATTTATTATTTTATACGTAAACAACAAACGAAAATCTCGAGTACAAACCAGTCATTAAGCATTTTGAAGGAATTACACAACGCGAAAACAGCGGGTCATTTAGGGGTCAGAAAGACTTAAAAAAGGGTACGCGAGGCGGTATATTTCCCGCAATTATACAAAATAGTAACTGCGTATGTCAGGTCCTGCAATCAATGTCAGTTAATAAGTGATATTAATTACAGCCCGGCCGGGTACTTAAATAGCATTCGCGCTACATTTCCGAATGAAATTTTAGGCATAGATCTTCTTGCTCCTTTCCCCCACAGTGAGTTAAATAAAAATCGTTTTCTTTTAGTAATTGTAGATCATTTTTCAAAATGGACAGAAATCGTTCCACTTAAACGCGCGTAAGCCAAAACAGTCGCAGATGCATTCTTACACAGATACATTTTAAAATATGGTGCACCGATAAAAGTCATTAGCGATAACGGTAAACAATTCGTTAGCCAAATATTTGAAAACATATGCACTGGACTTGGCATACGCCATATCAAAATGGTTCCGTATACACCACAGGCAAACATAGCAGAAAGAGTTAATAAAAACATTGTAAAAATAATTCGCAGTTACGTTAGCACACATCACAAGCGCTGGGATGGCTACATAAATGAATTAGCTTATGCTTTAAGAACGGCAAATCACGATACTACGTGAAAAACCCCAGCAGAATTATTTTTAGGATGGAAGTTAATTACGCCATTAGATAAATTATTCTTTGTGCAACAAAGAGAGCAAGAATTTAAACAGAAAGATGTGCAAACACTTATTGACCAGGCGGTTAAAAGCTCGGATACGGCAAGAAATAGGCAGAAACTATATTACGATAGAAAACGCCGTGAAGCAGATTTTAAAGTTGGAGATAAAGTGTTGAAGCGGAAATTTTCTTTATCAAGTGCCCCAGACAATTTTACTGTAAAGCTAGCTCCAAAATTTGAAGGCCCCTATGTAATTCAGGAAATCAAGGGAGTCGTATTGTACCTTAAGAACGAGAGAGGGGAAATCTGTAAAGCAAGTCCCGACCAGGTGAAAAAATATTATAATCAAATGATTTTTGAAATCCTTAAAAGTTTCTTTCTTGCAGGACTCAAGCGTAAAAGAAAGTAGAAGGTCCAGAAATAAACGTCACCCGTTCCACCACCCAAGAAGCAGAGAACTGAAGAGAACCTAGCCCTTCTACAAGTCATGCGACGGTACCGAAAAGAAGAAATTAAAACTTTCAGACTCCAGCATTTAAGATAACACAAGAAAGCAACGCCGCCGCGTAAAGAATCTTTGGTAAAGAGGAAAACCCGACTTACAACGTATCGCAGTAGAAATTCTGCATCGAGGAGAAACACTTCCAGGCCCAGATGAGTCAGGAGCAAACAAGGCCGCCGTTCCCGAGAATGAAAAGACAGCAGGAGGAAACGAAAAGACCACCACCAACAGAAGAAATTCAAGTATGATTCCAGACCAGGAGGACGCCAAGACCAGCCGTCCAGGGGCAAAATGGAAAAAAGACAGCAACCTGACGACTACCACTCCAAGAAGGCCAGCATGCAGAGGGCGAAAAAGAAAAAAAAGCAACGTGGACGACACTCGAATCACACTAAGGAGACGACTGACGTCGATGAAACCTATAACGTGGGAGCAGTTCTGCCAGAAGAGGATGTCGGAGTTCCAATCATCGAAAACTCAAAGATAAGTTAAAATCTTCTGTAAATTTTTTTTTCTTTTGTTCCGAAATGTTATGTGTAAATACGAAGTTCTATGTTTTGACGGAAGTCAATGTGTCTCGGTTGAGACTTAGTTTTGTTTTACTTTATTTAACTAAGGCAAAAGTATTATTTTCTTTAAGTATAAAATCTAAGAACAAGCAGTTTCTGTTTGGTCGAAAGACTAATTCTGTTATGTTAAAACCAAAATTTGGCCGAAGATAAAAATAACTTCGCATTCTTGTATTAATAAGAACTTTAGTTTCAGTGCCGCCAGCTTGGCGAAGAAGAAGTAAAGTAAAAATTTACTTTTCTCTTATTCATTTTATGGTAAATTGTAAAAATCATATGTATTAGAATTTTGTAAATATACGTAAATACTTGAAAGTTATGTAAAAGTAGAATTTAGTCTAGAAGCATAAAATTTTAGATGCTAAAAGTAAATGCTCAAAAGCAATGAATTCAAATTTAAGTATTAAACTGTAGATAAAATCATGCTTTAGAGCGAAAGCCTGCATGTCTAAAGATGAATGAGGGGGAATTTAGAATGAATGTGTTTTGTAGGGTTCTCCACCTACACTTGAATTTTAAGAATGTTAAAGTAGCTCATCGAGTTGTAGAATGTCGAGTAAGGTGTGTCTATTTGGTCGTTGAATTCTAACAAATCATTGTGGTTAGGGGAAGTGTTGCAATACTAAAACACGAATATTCCCGTTTGACACCACACATGGTGGAGAACCAGGGTAAAGTTAAATTCATGTTTGAATACTTGAATGAATGTGAATTAAGCAGTAACTAAGAAAAATAAAAAGATTCAAAAACAAAAACTTATTCAGTGTCAAGAAAGTGTAAATTATAATGTATTTAGAAAGATACTGATACTTATTCCTTCCAGATGCTGGAAGGAGAGAACAGATTGATTGCTGAAGTCCAGGGAAAGGTTGCTGTAAGAAGAAGAGTTTAAATAGTATCTACAGAAATTTATTCTACCTTTTTGTGAAAAAACAGATTTTTTATGTAAACGAGGCTCTTAAAATTTAGTTCAGAATTGTGGAAACTTTACAACATAGGTCGTTTCTAGGACCTGCTTCCAAGTTTTACCAAATTCTGGCAGCGGCAAATGTAGGGTTTATATTTATTTTAACTAACATTTATTTTAAGTTTAAACTATCTTTCCTGTCAAGCCTTACTTTCCCCTGGAATTGCCAATGCCAGAGTATGTAAATTTTAGTAGAACGCGCAAGGATTCAAATTGTCAGCGGAAGTAATTTAAGTTAAATAGAAGGGAAACGAGTTCGAAGGTGTGCTTTCTGGCTTCACGAGCGTGGAGGTGGCTAGTTAGAAATTGAAGAACCACGCGTTTCGGCCTGTGTGCTTGCCTCGGCAAATTGTTAATCTTTCAACGTAATATTCAGAAGTTTGCTGAATTATCAGCGGTATCTTAGAACGCGGTGAGGTTAGTTACGTTTAGAGAGCCTCGTAGTTAGTCACATGTTACTATTCTTTTTTAGTTTCTTATTTTTATTTTACCGCCGGGTCGGCGTAGTTTGTAAGCGTCAAGAGCAAGCATTTGTAATTTCTAAATAAAGTTGAATAAAAAGGGATTTAAGCCCTTCTCAAGACTTTGTCTACTTTCCAGTTCTCAGCAGTCACCACTATTGTTGCGTGCAGGTTGGAAGCGCGCAACATTACAATCTGAACCAGAGGATTTTGATATCTTGACACCAGGCCACCTATCCTGAAAATGGTATTGTAGAACTGCTATTTGTAGAACCTAATATTTTAAACGTTAATGATAATAGATTAAAGAGCTGGCAAAAAATTGACTAAAATAGTACTAAACAATATGGAAGTACTGGAGAGAATAATTATTTGAGTGCAATGCAAGGAATGGTTCTTCTAAATGGTTCTTCGAAAAGACAATGTCAAGGTTGGAACTATGGTAATTTTAAAGACTGATAATGTTCTTGTATGTAACTGGCCTCTTGGCAAAATCGTAGAGATATTCTTAGATAAAGACAATAAGGTTAGAGTAGTTTCAGTGAAAACGAAAAGAGGTATTTTTAAAAGATCAATTAATAAATTAGTCTTTTACCTATGCCAAATTAAACAAGAAGTATGTTTGTAATTAATTATTGTATTTTCTTATTATAGTAGTTTGATTTTGTTGATGTTATTATTTGATGTTTATAATTATTTACCTGTATTTCGTATTGTTACTCTGTGTAATTTTTTATTGTAAGATCTAATTTTGAATGATTACATCATGTCAAGGCTAGCGGTATGTTGCGCCTGCGCGCGCATTTCATTACTACCGTCGGCGCATGCGCCTTGAGCTCTTGGAGTCTGTGACGTGAGATTGTGAGCTAAGAGCGTGGGAAGAGCGTGTGAGAGAATTCGTGGCTTCGAGTGGCCATGAACGATGTAAATGAATGAGAATAAAGGTGAGATATAATACAGTCCATTGTTCCTGAGTTTATTGAGTTATAGTGTAGTGCCTGTGCAAAACATCTGTTTTGTATTCCTTTTTAAAAGAAAATTTGGGTAGTTTACAATCGACATTTACATTCAATAAATGTCGATTGTAATGAAGCAGCTTACAACCTGACACGTTTTAAAACTTCTAACTGTTTACGCCCAAGATAACACAATATCAACCATATACCGTATTTATCTTCTTTTAAAATTGCACCAAAGTACAACTGCGCCAAATTCTCTTTTGGGCATGCGCAGTAAGCGAAATTCGTTTAACATTGATCAACTGAATGTGCGGTTTGCCATTATGCCCCCCCCCCCGCGTAACATCTGCACTGAACATGGGAGGATTTTTTTGAAAAACTATGAAATGTTTCGATTCCAATTCTATACTAAAAAGGTTATTTAGTTTACTTACTGATTCTTTCTGGTATATAGCAGTACTAATGAAAAATTTTCTTTTTAAAAGAGAAGATAATTAACTCGCTTCTTGTTTGTGATTCCCAACAAATATTTGATTACAGAAGTCTTTTACAAGGAATAAAAATTAACACAATTGCTTTTCTGAACATTTAAAACAATTTAACTTACCGATAAACTCGCAACTTTGATGATATGTCAGATTACTTTTGTTAAACTAGCTCTTGAAAATCTGTCGCTCTGAATTTTAATTTAATTTAATTTAATTATTTTTTTTAGGAAAAAAGTAATACTAAGAAGAAGAAATGCTCCATTGCGCCTGTGGCAGAAGTAGTTTCTACAAAAGGTATAGGAACATTATATGGAAATGACTTTCTTGCAGCTTCAGAATTAATAAAGAAAAGATTTAAGAGTTTTCCTGATCAATTTGAATGACAGCTGAATTGTATTTAAATGATTTTCCAAATTAATTAAAGATTTCTTTATATGCATAATATATTTCATATATAAAAAATTACTTTTGAAATTATTATGTGATACTCCTTAAATGAGTGAAATAAATTAAACAGTTCTCAGATATTTATCATTGCAGCTTGAATCCGAAAATATTATTAAGTGATCTAATTATTACTTTTAAACGGCCCAGTATCTGTAGAATGTTAAAATCTTAACTGAGAAAGAAATTGTTGAAATATATCGATTCATAATGAGATTTTTCAGCATGAATCGACAAATGATTTTATTTGGATAATGATGTAATAAAACTGATATTCACTAAAGGTAAAATTATGTATGTATATTAGTATAAAAGTGCATTTTGATTTAATTTAGAGTTAAGTTTTTCACCAGAGTTATTATCATCAGAGTATGAATGTAAAAAATTTATCAAATATCAGTTTTTTTAAAACGAGAAAGAAGTATTTAATCTATAGTATGTAAATTAAAATATGGTTATTGGGGGGATTAGAGTGATATGTAAATTAAAATAAGGTTATTGGGGGGGGGAGATTAGGAGAAATTTAAAATGTTTCTTACTTGATATAGCTTGTAATTTTGATATTTCTACAAATTTTTGTTGAACTAGCTCTATCTCTGCACATATGGCTGCAGGCTTTAAGGATGACAAAGCTTCCTTCGATTAGGAAAAAATCACAAAGGCTCATATTGCTATCACAGATTTGTTAGCGTATGAATTGGCAATATTATCCGTTTTATCAAAGCGCGAACTCCTTCGTTTTTGTTTAATTCTACGGACGCGAAAGATCAGTGTAGTAACACAAATAAAGCTTATTTCCACATGTTAAAGTAGAAAATCTTTATAATCCATTCTGACTGGGAAAGCTTTGTTTATTTTCCATTTTCTTAATAGGTCTGTCTGTATGGTATAGCTAGTCTTTTAAACACAGAGTAATTCAAAATGATTAACTCGAGCCCATGCATTAATTTGATGTCGATTAAATAAAAATAAAAGAAATCTCTGCGTTTTAGAATGCCACACAAATACTGATGTATAGAACAAGTTTCCTTAATGAAACTTGTTATTGTACATCAGTATTTGATTTCTTCTGCATTAGATCAGTTGGAGTGAAACTGGTGATTTGGGGGTCTCCTAGTTGATCTGTTGGGTCATTAGATCTTAGGCGATACTATATTTTCATTTAAAGTACATTAAAGATCTCTTCATGCCCCATTCATCTGAAATTTAGTATGACTTTAAAAACCGCATTGTGACATTTGTAACAAAGGATGTATTGGAGATGTGATGCAAGAATTTGGTTACTATTTTGATGTTATCTGTATAAAGAAAAAAGATCACGTAGAGTTTTTGTTCCTAACATTTTGTCCTTTTAGGTATGATTGTTGTTCTATATTTGTAAATTTCAAAGATTAAAAACTTTGAAAACTGAATTAATAATTTTAAGTAAACCTGTGTGTTGGAATTTAAAAAAATGTAACTTTGCTAATTGGAGCAAAGTTCTTGAAGTGATTTTACTTGGAAGATATGCCTTCAAACAATATATCGCTAGATTAAAAATATGCAATGAAAAAGAAATTGGTTGTTAACGTCGTATGCACAAAGCAGGAACTTCTTCCAGCTCGTTCAGTACCAGGTCACTGCTAGAATTTAGAACAATTAAATGGATTCAGTTGCTGGTGAACCACAGAAGACTGTAAAAATATCAAGCATTATATGTGATGAAATCAATATTAACAAAAGTAAAAAGTAGGTGTTAAGATTATATATTTTATTAATAATGAGACAAATATTTAAAAATTAATAATATGAAACAGTCTAAACTGTTAGATATGTTGTTAAATTTAAATATTTAAAGCAAGCACTTTAAAAAAAACTGCTAACACACAGCAGCAACTACGGACTTGCAGAAAAACATAAGTGGAAATTCTAATGCAGCAATTATAGTTAGAACTTTGTACCGAGTCAAATTATAATTATATATGTAATCTAAACCATATGAAATAGATGTGCTATAAATTAAATTTATTAGAGATATTATTAAAAAATAAAATCGATGTGTATTATCAAGAAGTGTAAATATCGTCAAATCATTCATTTATCTAAGCAGTATACTATTTTAATTTAATATAAATTAAAGATTGTTTCGGTATATCAAAAGGCAATGCGTACGAGAACTGAAAATTTAACAGACTATGCAGATTATTAATGAAAGATTTTCTGGTCTGTAAACAGCATTACTTTGCCAATTGTATCTACGATAAATTCTTGTGAAGTGCTTCAACATAAAGTGAAGAGAGAAAAGAGAGTATGAGAGAGAACTACAATTTTTTTTAAGGACAGCATTTGTCTAATCAGAGAAACATGGTATATTAATTTAGCAATTAAATATAGCAATTATCTACCTCTAAACTGTTACGATGGCTAGCAAAGGAATTTAGAATACATTTTTGAACACAACATGTCGTATTTTGTTGGGCTGCAACAGTTAAAATGCAATTAAGAGCACGAATTATTATGTAATTAGCTACACCGAAAAAAGTTTCAGTTCATTACGCATTAATAGGATTATAAGGTATTCACAACACATTAATTACAAAAGTATAAAATAAGAAAATGGAAACTACATTTGTAACTATTCCGTTCAACAGTTTAAGAATCTCCAGCCGGTTTTTGAGTTAAAAACTGATATCTGATACGTAAAAGTGTGTATAGATGAGGTTGGCATGAAAATAGGTTGTGGGACGGTATCTACGCACAAAAATAATAATTAGATTATTTGAACACACAAAGCACACAAGGACAATCTGCCTAAGGGGAGGGATACCTTTGTGGAAGACTTTTTAAGAGAAATTAGTTTCTATTCCCATTTACACATAGAGAAAACCATGAAAACTAACCAGTCAGCCCGTTTGCCTGCGATCGAACCCAGGCGAAACTCCCAGGATTCTCAATATTAGTCACTCGGCCACTCGCCCTCACGAATTTAACAGAAATAAAAATTTGTGTCGAATGATTTCATTAAATTCCTACATTTATCCAATGAAAATTAATCGCAAGTGAGAAATATGAAAGAGCTTGTTTTAATATAGTGTGTTGTTTACTTCACTAAGATTTTTTTATAGTCTGAGAATTATATAAGAGCAATGCATGAAGATGATATGTTCAGAAAAAAATTTGAAGCATACTGAATTTTTACAAGGTTTAATTTTTTCCGATTATAAAAATTATTTCTGCATTGAATTTGTTAATTAATTGGTTAAAAATTATTTTTGTATTGATTCACATTTAACCCTGATTTAAAGTATCATAAATAAATATATATAGTTAATTGTAAACTAAATATTAATAAAATAATTGCCAATTAATAAGAAAAACTATGTTTAATTCATTTTATACATTGAGAACACTGTCACTAAGCAAAGAGAATATCTGAGATAATTTGGATATTGAGAATTCTGTTAGTATTTATGTAAACGTTATTGCAAGTGCTTTATCAGTAAAAAAAAATATTTTATTATCAAGAGTTAATACTTTATAGCATTATCCGGTTCTCAAAATACCATACCACTTTTTTGAATTGGTGAATCTTGATTAGCTGAATAAAAGATGAATATCCCTTTGATACAGCTCAGCGGAGCTTAGGGCAATGCAGCTTAAGCTAATCTATTTGAAATTTGCTCTAGAACTTGTGAAAACTGAGATCAGATGAAGTAATCCAACACTTTAGTCACTGTTCCATCTTCGTAATTTTTTTACAGCCATTAACATACTTTATGAAAGAGAAATCACTGACAGATCTTATAAAAATGAATATTCAAACAGTAACTGAAGTAAGAATATTAAGTTGTCCTGACGAAATGCCGAGTCATATTACCATTTCAAGTTTTTCGTTTATGTTGGAAGTAATATGAAAGTTTCAGTATAAAGTGCTTATAAGAGTATTTGAGCGATGTTAATTGAACATCTCTTGGTGTCAGTAGCATCACAATATTTATTTAAATAACCTAAGACATATACGCAGAACGAAATTTCGGAGAGTTTGTAGGGGCTAATGGCAATAAAAACGATTAGATTTAAAATTTTGTTGGTAGTCTTCCTTAGTTTTCTTTTGCAATTGAAATTTTTGAAGCGTTCATTTAAAATTTTTTGAGATATCCTGTTCACGAGACGATACGATCAAAGCAAATCTTACTTTCACTTTCTTAAAAATTTTCATAATTCTTTTTTAATTTAGAGCTTTAAAAAAACTTTTAAAAAAACCTTGCACTTAGAGCAAACTTAGCAGAAAATTTGTTATTTTTTATTCTCCAAAACCTTTATTTCTGACTTCTACCAAAAAAAAAAAAAAAAAAAAAAAAAAAAAAAAAAAATCTGAAATGTTTCAGATTTTAAATTACGTCCAAAGGGGCGTTTTTTAACATTTTGTGTGTTACCTTTCTTTATTAAATATCATGTTCCTCGCACTTAAACCATAAGATCCAGTGCAACAGCAATATCGCAAAATAGTTTTAAAACGAGCATATCTTTAGAATTTCCGATACAGAGACTCACACGCGCTGGAGATAAAAATGTTTTTTCTTTCTGCACAACGTTGCCATTGCTCGCGCTTTGAAATCCTTGAGTTTTGTTAATCAAAAATTCGTCAAAGTTTTTAAAAAATAGGAAATCGATCATAAAACAAATTTCAAATTTCAAATTTGGTCTTCCACATGCTCATATTCGTTGGAGGATTACGTTATTCAAAATTCGATGACTCTATGTACCGTTATTTTTATGACAATGCGAGAAATATACATACATTTATGCAGATTTTTCATTATTTAATTTCTTCAAATATAATGCAGGACTCTAACATTTTGTGGCAACAGTTTGAAAAGTGAACCGACATTTATGAGTCCGACGCAAAATGCCAAAACGAAACTAATAGTCCTTCGGGATTCAAATCCCTTTGGACTAAAAAATCTACTGCTGTGAAAAAGAATTGAGAGTAAAATCTTGACAATGTTTTTATTG